TTTCTTTCTTTCTTTCTTTCTTTCCTTTCTTTCTTTCTCTTTCTTTTCTTTCTCTCTCTCTTTCTCTCTCTCTCTCTTTTCTTTCTCTTTCTCTCTCTCTTTTCTTTCTCTTTCTCTCTCTCCTTCTTTCCTTCTTTCTCTCCTTCTTTCTCTCTTTCTTTCTCTCTTTCTTTCTTTCTTTCTTTTTTTTGACGGACTCTTGCTCTGTCGCCAGGCTGGGGTGCAGTGGTGCAATCTCAGCTCATTGCAACCTCCACCTCCTGGGTTCAAGTGATTCTTCCGTCTCAGCCTTCTGAGTAGCTGGGATCACAGGTGCGCACCACCATGCCCAGCTAATTTTTTTCTATTTTTAGTAGAGACGGGGTTTCACTGTGTTGGCCAGGATGGTTTCCATCTCTTGACCTTGTGATCTGCCCGCCTTGGCCTCCCAAAGTGCTGGGATTACAGGCGTGAACACCCATGCCCAGCACCCACACCTTCATCTTTCTTGCAGCATTATTCACAATAGCTAAGATTCAGAAACAACCTAAGTGTTCATTGATAGTGAATGGACAAAGAAAATGTGATATACATATCAGTATATATATTGATATACATATAAACTGATATACATATATATATAAAATGTATACTGCCTCTCTGCTGCCTCAGTATACATACTATATGTATACTACATATATACAGTATACATACTATATATATACATACATACAGTATATACATACTATATATACTATATATATAGTATATATATACATGTATACATACTATATATATACATACACATAGTATATATATACATACTATATATATACATATATGTACTATACACATACTATATATATAGTATACACATACTATATATGTGTATATATATATACACATAGTATGTGTATATATATATACATGTATATATATGCTATGTATACTGCTTGAGGCAGCAGAATGGACACTTAGGTTGTTTCCATATCATAGCTATTGTGAATAACGCTGCAATTATTTAATAATGCAGAATATATATATCATATATTCTGATACTGATATATATATGATTGATCTATCATATATATATTTATATATCAGAATATATATATACGGGTGGTGATGGATGTGTTCATTAATATAATTTCTATATGTATAAATATATATATATAAAGAATAACCACAAAAATTGAAGGAAATCCTGCCATTTGCAACAACATGGATTAACCTCAAAGACATTATGCTAAATAAGCCAGATACAGAAAGAAAAATGCTGTTTGATCTCACTTCTATGTGAAACCTAAAAAATTTGAACGAATGCAAACAGAGACTAGAAAAGTGATTACCAGGGGCTGGGGGTGAGGGAAACGAGGAGTTGTTGGTTAAAGGGTACAAACTTTCAGTTATAAGATAAATGAGTTCTAAAGGTGAGGTACGACATGGGTAGTGATGGATGTGCTCATTAATTTCATTGTGGTAATTATTATACGAGGTAAACATATATGAAATAATAACATTGTACATCTCAAATATATATAATCTGTGTCAATTAAACATTAAAAAATATTAAGTATTTTCCAAATGCTAAGATCAGATTATTGTTGAAATAAATTCAAGTGGTGTATTAAAAGGTATAAAAGGACCAAGTTAGTATGCAGTTCTGTGTGGATTTTCAATTAGCTTTAAATATATTCTTATGCCTAAAAACCAATAAATAAATAAACCATGTGATTCCAATAACATAAAAGCATACTGTTTTGTTTATTATAACTTTTTGCCTTTTTAAACTTCATAAAGGCATTTTCTTATCAAGAAAGAACACATCAAATGGATAAGAATGAGCATTTTTTCCCAATGTTCAATATATAAATCCATTACACATCAGATAATGCAACTAGTTCTTGAATCTTTACTTCTTCATTTCTATAACTAGGACAGGAACTCCTCCTTGATCAAGAAGCAATAATAACTCTGTGTCCTGTACTTGGAACATGTTTATGGAACAGATATAATTTCTATGCCCAACAAATTAATACTTTTCTTCTATCTTTAAAGTGTTTGACTAGAACTATTAACTGCTGTAAGCAATTTGTTAACTTAGAATTATAAAAGAAAGCGATTTAAAACACTTGAATAGTAATATTTCCCTTAAAAATTATATAAAATTCAAATAAATCATGCATAAAATTAACAAATCAGGGTTTAAAGCACAATGCTTTATCATAATATTATGCCAAAGGCATTTGGATTTCAAGGATCTTTGAAAAAAGCTATTTTCAGTACCTTATATGTAGCACCAAGGAAAAGATTCACTTTAGTTACACATTCATATATAAACATAATCTACTTTTATTTAGTAAAATCAAAACACACTTCCCAACGAGGTTGTCAATATTACCAACCTTCTGAAAAGGTCACTTATACAGTTACAATGCCTGGTAATTTTTTAAAAAAGCTCTAGAGTCAAACAGGCTTTATAACGTGCTACCACTTAATAACTATTATGCACACATACATAAACATATATATATATATATATATATATATGCATACTTTACCTATATTGCAGAACAAAATACAGAGCATATATACATATGTATAGAAGAAATATATATAAAACAAATATACATATATATATCACCTATATGCATATGTATTATATGTGTGTGTACGCCTAAGCTATCGATCATGTTTTTATTCTACAATGTGTAATAGCCAGAAATCTGACACAGTGTACTTTTCTCTGGATTTGTGTGTCTAGAAACAATACCCCCAAAGCAAGCTACTAAACTTAGTTTCTCATGATTTAAAAAATGGCTACTAGAAATATCAAGATTCAATATAATTTAAGCATCATTTCCAGGCTTCCCAATGCTTCTATAAAGCTCAATAACCAAATGTCATTATAGCTTTGGCTTTGAGTTTAAAAGTCTTAAAGTCAACTTAGAGGAAATGGAATCATGTTGATGATGCTCATAATTCACATTGAAGTAAAACTAAATGATGGTTCAGATAATATTTTTTTGCCTCCAAAGGAAAATTACTCTGAATTCGGGCTTGAGTGTTTAATATACGTAGCATGTCAAAATACTTGTAGACGAATCATAACTGCTTAAATATTAAAAACACACATGAAAGTTTGGATATAAAATCAACTCTGGGACTTGGTATTCACAATAATTAATCCATTAACAATAATGGATTAATCTGTGAGCTCTTGCTCAATAATGTATAAATTTTATTTGCCTAAAGAAGCATCCTATAAGCACATTTTAAATAAGAGTGTTCTGCTTTGCCATAGGCTATCAAAGGTCACAATAAATGCAGCACAAAGTACCTACTATCCTGGAACTATTTAAAAATAAAAAAATATGCAGCCAATAAATAGGACTTTAAGAAGATACTAGATCATTCAGAGGAACAAAGCAAGATCAAAATTTTCTTTAGCATTATTCCCCAATCCAAATCTTTCCTTAATAACTGCAGAATAAAAACCATAGAATGCCAGATATAGCAAAACATCATTTCGGCATCCCCCTACAGTAATGACACTGCTAAATTCAACAAGGATGACAGAATGTACCTTAGAAAGTAGTTTCCAGGGGAGAGTAGGGATCTTGCCCATTTAGTGAAAAACTGTTTTCCTAGCAATTAGAAAATCTGGTACATTATTCTTATCTGTAAATATTTGTTGAATGAATGAATGTTGAACAAACTGCTCAGGAATCTTTACCATGTAGGCCTTCAGTTAATATTTGGTTATTAAATGAATAAATGAGTTTATGGCCCTAGAATGGTAAAATACATTACACATTATATTAACATACTGTCAAGCAAAATTCTGAATTTGAATAATAATATAGTAGCTAATCTTGGCAGCTGAGCACAAAAGTGCTTTACTTTTTGAAGCAGCACAATCCTGGGTTCTATCACCAATTCTGACATTAGTCAATAGGCACAAACAGGAGCTTGGGGTAGGTGCTCTCCAACCCATCCTTGAGTTTGCCTTGCTGCTTGCTGACCACGCACCTCTCTCAATCCCATTACCCAGCAAATATGTCTTTGAACTGTCCTTTGGTAAATGAGTCTGTTCTATTTCCAGCCCCAGTTTCCTAGAATTGCTGCTACACACTCAAGACTGAGTTAGAACACTATGCATTTTCGTCTGTTTGCCCTTCACACTTCCTCCTTCAAGCTTTGGGAAAAATAGCAGTTCTCTCCCTCTGTGAGGTTAGGATGCCCTTCCAGGCAGTCTTGGGAAGAATTTAAAACAACTCCAGCTCTATGTTAGGTAATCCTATTGCATCAATGTGAAATTTCCTGATGTTGACCACTGTACTGTGGTTATATTAGAAAATGTGCTTATTCTTAGGAAGTACACACTTCAGTGTTTAGGAGTAAAGAGGTATGATGTATCTAATCTATAGGTGAATGGTTCAGAAAACAAAAGTGTATGTGTGATGAATGTGCATGGAGAAAGAGACAGAGAGAGAGAGAGAGAGAGAGAGATTGATGGATGGAATAATAAAGCAAGTGAGATAACAGAAACAATTGATGAAGCTTGGTAAAGAGTATATGGGAATTTTTTATACTTGTAACTCTTCTGCAGGCATGAAAAATGCAATATAATTATGTAATCATAATGAACATAATATTATCACTTATAAAATATATAATAAAAAATAAAAAGTTACTAAGAGCAATGGCTACAGGCTAGTTCCTCAATATCTGGTTCCAGAGGAAACATCATTCTTGGCTGTCAGTCTCTGTAAGTACAGATTACTCTCAATGAAGCCTCCAATACATGTTCCTTCATTTGAGGGCTGACCCAGCCACAATATCCCATCTTTGACTTTTCCTGCCGTGGGTCAGATATCTGCAGTGGAGCACCAGAAACATCATGTGTTACAGCTGAGAATCTCCAGATGGACTCTCTAAAGCCCCATTCCTCAGGTTTTGTGGGAGAGAGAAGCTTTTTCTTCCTTCCCCCATGAAGATTCAGAGCACAGTGACAGCTACATCCAAATAAAGTATTTAATTTCCAACAATCTGTCTTTTCCTACTTCAACTCTTTTATATTATTCAGGTAGAAGCAGTGTTGTCAAACTAATTTTTAAAGCTGCCTTTGAAAGCTCTATGGAGACTCTAGCCCCTCACTTTGGAATGTGCAAGTGTTATCACCCATCTTTTCCTCTTTGGCTTTTTAGACCTTTTAAGTCAAAAGGTCAGATTGAAATACCTGGTTACAGTGACAATTCATAACTCATGACCTCCAAGCAACGAACAATAATTACTGATTTATTTCTAGGATAAATTATATGGAAACACAGCATGGAAGCAAGATTTTATCTAAAGGTCATTTCTAACACTAAAACTAAGGTACACAAATATTTGCTTGTCTTTTGAAAACTAGATCCTTGGTTGTTTTGCTGTAATTGTAGCTTCCAATTTTACTCAGTAAAGAAGCTTAATTTAGTATAGTGGTTCTCAAAGTATTTTTTTGTATCAGAACTGTTTTGTACTCTTAAAAATTAAGGATGCAAGAGAGCTTTTATGCATGTGAGCTGCATCTACAGATATATAACCTACTAGATATTAAAAGTAAAAAAAGATAAACTATAGTTAATTTATTTTGAAATAAACAATTAACCTATAACATAATATATTTAAAAATAATTTTCCAAAACAAAAACAAATGAGAAGCATGACATTATTTTACATATTTGCAAATCTTGTTAAATGTCTGATTTAAGAGAAAACAGCTGGATTTTGCTTCGTCAGTCAAGCAGCTGCAAGTAATCTCTAGAAAATTCCAGTGTACAATTGTTAGAGAGTGAGATTTTATTTTATTATTTTTTTTTACTTTATATATTATACTTTAAGTCTGGGGTACATGTGCAGATTGTGCAGGTTTATTACATTGGTATACACATGCCATGGTGGTGATTTGCTGCATCCATTGCCCTGCAATCTACATTAGGTATTTCTTCTAATGCTATCCCTCCCCAATCCCCCCACCCCCTGCTATTCATCCCCTAGCCCCCTACCTGCCAGGCCCTGGTGTGTAAATGTTCCCTTCTCTGCATCCATGTGTTCTCATTTTTCAACACCCACTTATGAGGGAGAGCATGTGGTGTTTGGTTTTCTGTTCTTGTGTCAGTTTGCTGAGAATGTCGGTTTCCAGTTTCATCCATGTCTGAGAATAAGATTTTAAATGGCATTATTATGAAAATAGTTTTAATATCAGAATCTTCCTTAAAAAGATTTTGGGGTCTACAGGTACCCAGATCATACTTTGAGAGCCACTCATGTAGTGGACCATGCACTTGTTTTGGAGTGACAATCCTGAGTTTGAATCCCACCTTTGCCTCTAAATAGCTCTAAAGCCTCAGTTGAATTACTTACCCTGTCTAAGAGACTCAGTCTGTTGTTTAGGAAATTGAGATAATGCTTCTCCACAGATAATTAAATAATAAATATAAAACTTCTCTTAATAGTTTTTAGTATAAATAACTTTGTATTCAGTGAAAGTGAGTTTCCTCTTTTTTTTTTCTTCTGCAAATTCACTGGCACTCATAATTATATAGTCAATGTCTGTAATGACATTGATTTGCGAACTTGGAAGTGTTATAGTTTATCTCTCTGTTTTTCAGTGTCCTCAGTGGGAAAAAGTAAATCAGAAATTTTTATAGCCACCTTACAGAATAGCTATGATGACAAAAATAATAGATTTGAAGATGCTTTGAAAAAATAAAAGGGGCATTCAAATATTAAAAAGTACATTTATTTTGGCAACAGAATAAAAATGTTAATGGGTGAGTTAAATTTTCTACTTAGACAAAATTCAATTCTTTTAAAAATAAAATAAAAAGAATTACAGTAAATTATTTTCTTAAAAAGCCTAGGTTTGGGTATTATAAATTTTCTAAACTTCTGTTCTTCCAATGCTAGCTAGCTTTCTGATTTGGTGCAAACTGACATTTGTGCACAGCAGTTTTCATCTTTAAAATATTTTTTGGAGGGGTTAACTGATCATCCTTTCAGGTCCCAAATTGTATGATGTTATGGTTCTTTTTCTTTATAATTATTTTTCCTAACGCTATAATTTATCAATTGTTTAATGCTATCATACTATTTTTAGTAATAACTGATTTTTTTAAAGAAAGGAGATATTTGCATTATTTTAGGCTCATCTCATCTCTACTATATATGCACAATTTTAATAGAGGATCGCTGTGCATGGAGAAACAGGGTGGGTAACTTGATAATGATCAGCCTTCGTATAAAAGAAAATAAACCAATATTAGAGGAGAAATTTACCAGAAGAAATAGTTCCTACTTTACGGGGCTCACGATAGAATCTCTGTCCTTTAGCTCCATTTCTTTTCTCAATGGTCCAAAACCAATTTTATAACTCAGTTGTCTCCTAGCCAAATGTGCAGCCTGCTGCAGAGATGAGTTTGTGAAGCTCAACCATACAAAATGGTATATCTAAGGAGTGCCTGCATACATTTGGAAGGATGTTTTAATAGCTGAATGGAGCTTTGCTTCAGTTTCTTTTTCTTTTTTCTTTTCTTTTTTTTTTTTGTTCCCTTATTTGATTAGGTTTAAAAAAAAAATTAATAAAAATCAAGAATAGAACATAGAGAAATTGAGTTGGACTTAAAGTGTTATGGTTTACGATGCAATTTTATTAAAAGTTTAGACCAGTGTCGACTAAATGTGAGACAATGTCAGAGTTTTCTATATCATTAAAGTATTATTGAGAAGCTGCATCAATTCTTCATGAAGCCATTTGTAGTCATCATCACACTGTGTTTTTACTTTGCCACCCATTAGGTAGCCTTGCTTAGCACTGGCCTAGGAATTAAACACTGCAGGTTTCTTCAAAGAGTTCACAGAGTAAACAATATTTAAACATTAGGATGATGTATTTTCTTCAAAGTACTTACTTTCCATAGCACAGAAAATCCAGACCTATTGCAATGGACAGGGAACAGCAGGCAATAGCAGCAATATAAATTCATAGATGTACCCATCTATTTTTCTACAGGAGAGACAGAATTAGGAAAGGAATGCCTGGCATGTATACTATGCTGCAGGGAATAAAGAAATCACACTTCTTTAAGTTTTAGCACATACATATTATTTTTCATTATTTATATTGGTTTCCTGCTAAGATTGGGCTTAAAAAAAATAGAAAGTTGACTTTATGCTAATAGTACATAATATTTTCTTCTTTTTCAGAGAGAAGGAGAACCAGTGTGCACTTTGATTATTCTGCCAGGGAAATGTCCTGGGCATCCTGTTAATTGAAATGGACAACTTCCTAGGCTCAAAAAATCTGTCAGGTGGGCTTGTTGCTGCAACATAATGTTAACCACAGGCACAGATGACATGAGTCACATTCACAACATGCTGCTGGTTAAACTGATTTAGGGAGAAAAAAGAAAATGTTGGAAAATAAACTGATGATCACAGAAACATACATTAAGGAACTTCTAATTCATACTGATGAAGAACATCTTTAGTATTGTACTTCATTTGCATTTAAGGTCACAAAAGCTGTTAATACAGAGATCAGGGAAAAAGATAGTGGGTCTTCCAAATAATTTGTTTTGGATTTGAAATGTCAGATCCTACATCAATTTGGAATGCAGTATTCATTCTCTTGACATATAAATTGACACTACTATTGTTTCTCAAAATGAGGTTTTTACATTAGCTCTCTGGATAAGTGTCCTGTGGTGCAGTATATCACACAAAAGCAATTTGCAGAGGTGTGGAAAGAAAAAAATGTATTTTTGCATCATAGGAAACATCTACTTGTTAAATGGGTTATGAAAATGAAAGCATTTTAATACTATAACAAGAATTGATTAGAATTTGTTTTGCTTCACTTACAGATTCTACTCCTGGTTTCTCTAGCCAGCAGTTTTATGTTCTCCGGCATGAAAGGAGTTTAGTGAATAAATAAATAAGGTTTATTCAGTAAATAAATAAATAAAGTTTATTTATTTACTAAACTCCTTTCATGCCGGAGAAACATAAAACTGTAGGTTGATTCTCTAATTCTATTTCCTCCCAGCCCAATGTCATTTTGCCCACCAAAGTTAAAAGTAACTAACATAATACCAACTAGGCAGATGAATCATGGATAAAATGTCTGTCATGTTGATTATTCTTGATCATTACATCTGTATAGATAGTAACTGTGCTCGGTAGGCACTCTGAATTATTATGTTTGCATTAACTTTTACCCTCGTTATGATTATTATCACGATATTATCACTGTGTAGATTGGTTTATGTAGTTACATCATCTATAGGTTTTGCAAAATAACCCTGGAAATTCTGATAGTAATTCAAACTAGTTACCTCATGGGTAACTTAATGTGGCTTCAAATTTTTGCAAAGTTCTAAGGAAAAATCCCCAAATTAAGTTATTTTAAGAAGGACATTAATAGAATACTCATGAATGAAATATTATTCATGTATATTTGTAGACTGTGAAATCACATTGTATTGTCTTTATTTGACAATATTTCTCTCTGTCCATTAGATTT